CCATTCGTTGTCGGAAGAGAGAGGCTCCCCCCGGGGGGGGGGGGGGGGGGGGGGCGGCTGGGCCTTCCCGTGTTTGCGGGTGTTTGCGGGGGACCACCGCCGGTGCCTCTTATTAACTGCGACATTTGCCCTCTCTCTCTGTGTGTGTGTGTGTGTCTGCGTATGTATGTGCCCCAACAGGAACGTCGATGGCCTGGATGCCCTGAATCAGGATGTCCTACGCTCGCAGGCCGGCACGCCTCATGGCATTCACTAGCTGTGTGGCACGGTTGGCCGCCCCCTTTTTCTGTATCATACCCATGTACACTCTCTGTCCTTTGCACATCGCACAAGTCTTTCTGTGAGCGGGCGGGTGGCGGGGAGGAGTGGGGTTTTTTGCCTGGCCATTGGCACGTGCGTGCGTGTGTGTGTGTGTATTTCATGTGTTCAGATGGGCTCGTGCGCTTGTGTGTGTATGTGTGTATGTGTGTGTCTGTGCACGCGCGGCTGCGCATGGCCCGTCCCAGGCAAGCCTCTCAGTCGGTCAGCGGCGTGGCGGCGCGGTACATCTGCCGGCTGACCAGACGCGAGATGGCGGCCACGGTGGCCCGAGCCAGGACGCAGGGGTCATCCTGGGCCACCGTGTCGCTGGGCTGGATCAGGTCCACGATTTCCGGCCTGGCTCGTGGTAGCGCAGGTGCAGGGTGTGTGTGTGTGTGTGTGTGTGTGTGTGTGTGTGTGTGTGTGTGTGTGTGTGTGTGTGTGTGTGTGTGTGTGTGTGTGTGTGTGTGCGTGCGCGTGCGGGTTGCGGTGGTGAGGATGGCGGGCAGGTGGATGCATGGGTGGGGAGGGGGCAGGTGGCAACGCACTCCGTATTCTCGCCATGGAAGATCTTGGCGCGCGCAATGGGGCAAACCGCTCGCGAGGTGCTGGTGATGAAGCCAGCATGCAGGGTCCCGGCGGACAGGTCCCCGGTCGATGGGAAATCCTCCACCACGCGGATGGCCACCGGGATGCCGGCCGTCCGGCTGATGGCCACCGAGCGGATCTTCGGCGCCAGGTCCACCACCAGTGAGCGGATGGTCCCGGCCAGGACGGCCCCCACCGGGGCGGTCAGCAGGTCCACGGCAAAGGAAGGCTCCTGGCCGGGCTCCGGGAGCTGGGTCACACGCAGGAAGAAGGCATTGCTCGTAAGGCCCTGTGTTGGGTGTCATATGTTGTGGCCAGGGCAGCGGGGGGGG